AGGGGGGCTTTTGGGCACTCTTGCCCCCCTTGCTTCTTGTTGGGATGGTCACCCCTTGGGGCCTGAGTATCGTCTCCTTAAGGAACGACCACTCATCTTGGGTACTGAGCTCCCCTGCTCTTGAGAACCCCAGCACCTTTCCCACTAATCTCAACGTGTTGAAGTTGGCCCTCTTGAAGTCTAGGGCCAGCGCCTTGTTGCAGGCCCTTGACACCCTGTGCTGGATGGTGAATTCCAGCAAGTGATGATCACTATCACCCAGGTGGTCAAGGACCTGGAGGCCCCTTACCAGGTCATCACCTGTGGCCAGGACCAGGTCCAACAGGGCATTTCCTCTGGTGGGACTGTGCACCTCCTGAATTAAGTGGAGGTCCTGTATCTCGGCCAGGAAGCTAAAACTATATATAGGTTTATTTTTTAAAAGCATCTTAAGAAATGCAATTAAATACAAAAAACTCATTTAAATAAAAAAAAATCTTTTTTAAGTTGTTGACTTTTATCCATCCACCCTGCTTAGTTTGTCTTTCTCTACAGATTACCAATAGACCATAAGTTCCTCAAACTTTCTTCCATTCATGATTTATCATTACAAACCTCATTCACTAAAGTGAAGTCTACTCATCTGAATGTATTTTCAGGACCCACTGTTCTTAACTATCCCAGCTAGATGCCCATCCAGCCTCTTGTAGAATATCTCCTTTATGAGAGGTTTTCAACTTCCCTGGGCACCTCGTCCCTTTCTCCTACTGTTCTGACAGCGCGGAAAGGGATTTTTTTTCTTGGAAGTTTTATGCTTATGTTGAGACTGAACATGAGCAGTCTGGAGACCTGCCAAGGCATACATACCGCAGAAATGATTTCTATCCACAAGAGAGCCAAGAGCTGCTGAGTTCATCTTGAAAACAAGTAGGAGATTCTTCATACCACTCACTGATTTGTATATATTGCATCACCTACAGGCCCTAGTCATAGAGCAGTCCCTGGTTCACTCCTGTGCAAATACAGAATG